CCTGATATGTTTGCTTTTACACTTATTGGATGGTCTGTGCTCATCTCATCCTACTCTGAATATCTGGTGAACTTGCTCCCTAGGTGCTGAGATATTGTCCATAAGCTACAGCATTGCACGGTGCCCATCTGAAGCCTTGGCAGTTTGTGGATGGGGCAGAGAAAATGCAGATGCTTCAGAATAGTCTTCATGAACACAGCCTCCAATTTCTCTGCAAGAAGTCATCTGTGCTTAGATGTCCAGTGGCTTAGTGCTATCCTGGGATGGTTTTGGACATTTTATCCTCTGTCAGAGCCTGTAAAACCCAGTGTTCAGACTCATTAGTGTGTCTCACTTCAGAGGTGGCAACACTGCATCTTTCTGCACTGAGATGAAAACCTGCCCTGTGGTACTCTTCAGGTTACATCAGAGATTTTCCAGTTAAAAACCCATGTGGAAATAAATCATCCGCTGAAGTATACAGGAAAGAGCATTACTTTAACATGTTTGAACTGTTCTCTGTGTAACAGAATAAGTCCTGAGACATGGGAAAGCAGCCTGAAACCTTAAGGTCAAAAATATCTCCAATTCATCTGACAAAAATAATGACCCTTCCCAGTATTTTGTTTCACTGGTGCAATATGAACCAGATTTGTGTTGTTTTCACGAAGTTTATGATTTTGTTTTGAATTTATTTCTCAATACAGTTGGTCTTACGTGTGACAGAGCAGACTGAAGGGGCAATGGTTTGTTCACTGGCAACCTCATCAGTTTCACAGCACACTGGTATCATTTTCCAGTACAGTTAAATTTATTATGCTATGGTCCTATGAAATGGTTTGACATGCTTTCAACTAGTTAAATAACAATTTGATGGGATGTGAAAACCACAGGAGTCAGGAAGAAGGTAATAGTCTGTGAGTGGGCCTTACTGCTCTTACTACACTGACATGGTTTCAAGGGGAACCAAATACAACACATTTAGGAACCCCATGGAAGAAGCGATCTGCGTTGGGCTTCACGTGGGAGTAGAGATTTCTGGTCTGGTTGCCAATGACTGTGTTAGACTAGTGTTTGTTGCTTGGTACTTTGTAGAATGTGGAAAAAACCACAAAGAACCCTTCACTAAAGGAGGAAATTATGTGTGTGAATAGGGAGCCTTATGTCTCTGAAAAGGGAACAATAATATACCTCCTGTTTTGTAAGCAATGATTTTAGTTTGGAATTAGTGTTACTTCAGGTTAATAGAGTAGCCCATAGCAGGAACTGGAGGCAGCAATTTCTGCCCAAAGTTAGGGCTGCAGCAGGTATCCATTAGGATAGTCACAGCATGGAGCTATAGAAATGTCTTGTGCAGAATAGTGATTAGCTTTATTCTTGAAGCGGCCTCTTTCCACAGTAGCTGGATCAATTGGCTATGCACATGCTGTGGTTGCTTTTCATTTTGCTTCTTTCAATATATACAGCAATACTTGTATGGTTACTGCAATTTCAGCACTGCTACTAATTCGGCATCACCATTTCACTATTATCTAATAAAACCCCCTTTATTCTCTGATGCAAAATGCATTTTAAATAATAAACTTTCAACTCTGAGCTCCTGGTAAAATATCTTACATTAACGAAATTATAAATAGCAAGTGCCAGTTCTGTGCCAGTTCTAACAGCACAGAAAAGAACACATTGTGAAGGAAAATGCACCAGGTTTTTGTCACCCAATTTTGTTGCTTTTATAAAGCAAGCACTTATGAGAAAGATAATTCTGATTTCATAGTTCTTCAATTTGAATACAGCTGTTGTTTAAGCCTCTACTCTTATTTCATCACACACCCAGGCAAGTATACATGCATGCACACATGCATGGTGGCAAAAGATGCATGGCTGACCTATTTTCTTGTCTTGCTGTGGTGACTGTGTATCAAAGACAGTACATTTTTTGCCTATGCAATTCAGAGAGCAGCAACCGTAGTTCCTCTTTAAAATGAGCCTGTTACCAGAGGACTAGTTTATGTGAAAACAACAGTCAGAAGATAAGATGGCTTCAGTGTTCTGAAAAATTGGAGTCAGCTAGGAAGGGATTTCCATGCATACCACTTTGCTAATGTGAACATTAGACCACAGAAAGCTTTATGAAACTACATCGGATGAAATTTAGGTTGAAGCGTAGAAGACATCTAAATACACTTGCACCTCGCTTTCAGGTTTTGGTTAAAGACAAACTACATATCTTTCCTGTATGTTCAGAAATGGCCCATTCTGCTCTGACTTGCACAGAAGTGCGGGTTTCAGACTTTTATAATAGAATTAAAATTGTTTTGACTTTTGCTGCATTTTTGAAGTGATATAATTGTGTTTTGAAGTGTTTCCCCGGTGTGTGCACTGTTTACTAACACTATCCTGATCTTGGAGATGGTGTGATATTTTACAGTGTGCAGTGACATTCATGTGCCCAACTTGGCTCCAATAAACAGGTTAATTTCCACAAATTAAATGGCAGATTTGAAACATTACAAGGTGATTTAATAATTCTGTAATCAGTCTTTTGGATTCACAGCTGGGGCTGGTCATCGGGCAGTCCTGTGCCAGCTACAAATCCACAACTTCTATAGAATTTTTTCAGATATAAAGGGTCAAGCTAAAAGTGTTGGGAAAAGAAATATGTTTATATATTCTTGAACACCAAAACCATGGCTCAATTAACAACTGACAAATTTATGCTAGAGGAATGAGTTCAAATTTTAGACAATACTCCTTACACATCCCAATAGGCTGTATCAATTTATCTCCTGAAGTAAAGGTACCTTCAACGATGGGCAGCATAATTGAAAACCCTTACAGTTAGTACAGAGTTAGTATTCAGACATTGGGAATAAGATTCAGAAATGTCCAACTGTAAATGCTGGACAAAATTTATTTTGGTTTTCAAAATCAAGCCATGACTCATGGATTTGGATTTCACTTCACACAAACCTCTACTGGGTATTAGGTGCCAGCTCTGGTTCTTCAATATGACAGGTTTTAAAAAATAGTGGTCTTGAAGCTCCCCTTTCATTTGGCCTGAATTCATGTAATTTTGCTGCTACTAAATCACACAGTAATTTTTACAATACCTGTTTATATAAATCGGACAAGAATAAGAGGATTTATACATGACCTTAAAATAAACTGAAGCCTGTGATTAAAATGAATACATATACAAAGCTAGCAATGAGAAGCAAGCACACTGATTTAAAATATTTTTCTTACAATTATCTTGCTTGTTCAAAGAACAGTTTATACATGTTACAGTTAGTAGCTAAACTGCAATTTAGCTTAAATTTCCAGACTTTGATTCCAAATTGTTCTTTATTCTGTTTTTTAAGTAATATGTCTGAAGTTACTTCTGCTATGTATTCTTATTCTTGGGTACGCTTCCCAAAGGATATGAGTCACTTCTCCATTATTTGTAAAGACTATGGAGAAAGTAAAATATTATTATTTTGTGGGCATTTGGAACTGGATGTAAAATAAAAAAAAGAAAAAAAGAAAGAAGGTGGGATGTTGATCATTGTGAGTCATTTCTTGGGAAGAAGGAAAGAACAAACGCTGCTGATCTACTGCTATGAAAGCCAAGGACTTACCGCTGACTCAAGAAATAGATGTTGTTAGCTGCAGAATACAAAGGAGACCTTGCAGCAGGATTAAAGAGGAAAGTCTTTCCTCTAAGTAATACATAGTTACAAGGAGCTGCCTGTGTTGATTTCTTGGAGGCTGTTCCTTGTTTAAACAATCTTCTAGTTTAAACATGTTAGCCAGTTATGTGTTAGCAGGAACTGTATCCTGCAAATAGTTGCTGCAACTAAATGATTCTCCTTCTGAGTTTCCAGAAGTCCTGGCAAATCTTCAGGTAGGTCATGAAGTGCAAGGCTGAGCTCCATAGCACTGAGGTAGCTACACCAGTAACTCCCAGTGCAATTCCCTGCTTTCTGAGTCTTTCATCAATCCTGGTTGGTATAAACAAAACTGAAGCAACACAAATACTTTGTAACATATTTGCATTCTAATCAACTAATTGAAAAGAACCTGTTTTGGTATCAGAACTGATTTTTGAAAGTGACTTGGTGTCACTGTGGCCTTTGTGTACTTTATTGATAGCAATCAGCAGCTGCACTGGAAACTACTCGATCACCTACGTGTGCAACTACACAGAATACCTGTAAGGCACACACAACACTAAAGACAGTGAATTTAGTAATTATGACTTAACCATACTTCCGATTTGCCTGTTCTTTTCTAGCTGCAGTGGATGCATTATAATGAACTCTGCTAATTATTTTTTGCAGGTGCGTTCATTGTTCATTGCATTTTGGTTTTTAATGAGGAAAGCTTTCCAAATGCAAGGATGCAGTTCAATGGCAGCCTGAGCCAATTTAAGCCATGCCTACTACTTTTCTCTGCCTCTTCTCATTCTCTTTCTGTTCAAAAGAGACGTCTTCGTGCTAGCACACACACTTGAGCAACTCAGTAGTGGGCCAGTCCAGAGCACTGATCGAAAACTAATTCTAAACACTGATTCCAGTGCTGGTAAGTGATGAATTGGGAATCAGCAGCAGCATAGGATTGTCAGGAACATGGCAGTCAGTATTTATGTTTGAAAAAGCTGCTGTGAAACTGATTCTGAATGGAGATTTTGATGAAGAAACAAGTATAAAAATGTGCTCTGTCATTACAAACTAAGGTTTTTTAAAAACTTCCAGTAAATATTTAAAAATAATAATCTTACTAATGCTAATAAAAGTAGTACATGCTCTGTGATCTTTATAGGAGTTTATTCACTGTTACTTCAAAGTAAACCTAAAGCATTGTTAACAGCTTGGATGCCACAGATATAACAAGTAGAATGCTACATTAAGATGTTCATGCTTTACCAAAATTAGTGTGGATTTTTTAAAGCATAAGTGTTTAACAGTCCAACAGTCCACCATAGAATGTTTCCTTAGGGATGCAAATAGACCTATGTGCCTAGCTGTTATTTCTTAATGTCAATCAGAGGGTTCACACGGCCACTTCAAATCCTTGAAAAAGGTACCTTTGCAGCTTTGGATTTGAAAACCATGTTCAAGTTGCAACTCTGGCACAGCTGATCTCCAACCAATAAACTGCTGGGTAGTCTTAGGTACTGGAGGAGATGGAAGCACCTAAAATAAAAGTAACATGTAGAATTCAATGATTGAAAGGTTTTTGATTGTAGTTTCTGTCATGCAACATCCTCTTTTGTGCTGTACTGTGAATGAAAATGAAAACTTATAAAAAATAGTGCTTTTAAATGCAATCTACTGGATTAATATCCTGAGCGCACACTGACATTAAGAGTTAGGAAATAAGAACTTTGAAAGCCCAGTTGCAAGCAAGTTTGATTTATACTACACAATAGTTTATAATTTAGAAAGTCATTAGAATAATTTAGGTCCCCTTCTATAGCAAGACACAGAGAAAGAAAGGAGTAAACCTGCCAAATTCCAACATCGTAACTTTCATTTACCATCCTTCTAAAAAAGCCAGTCTTTTAGTGCCTAAATTGGTATGTTTAACAAGAAATCGAACTACAAAATATTATTTAGTTCTGTATGTTAGCATACTTGAAAAAAAAACACGTTTTGTTCCATATCTTTCTAAAGACTTTATGTTATTAGAAGAATCCCATCTTCAGCTTTAGGTTTTTTCCTTAAATAATAATAATAATCTTTAAAACTAGTTAACTTCTCTACAAGAGAAGTAGAATCTTATACTTGCTGTAAAGTATTTAGTAGCAATGCAGCTACAGAACAATAGTTTTGTGGCCAAATGCTAAAGATATTACTGACCAAGCTGCCTTTTGCATCAACAACTACTTATTCGTTCCACCTTCTTTCTACTTTAAAGGATGGATAAGCATCAAGTTAATCTGCAACTAATCTAGCTAAAAGGAAACAAAACAAAAGCCAACAGACTCTGTTCACCGACTGCTGTGCTTACTTTGGCTGAATCATCTCAATTGGGCACATTATATCATTTTAGCATCTGGGGACTTAGAGAAATACACAGCAAGAGAACAATGTTTCAGTTCTCTTGCCAGAGTTGCTTCACTTTGTTCTTTGGCCAAGATTAGAAAATGTTTATGATATTTAGGTGGAGCAGTTCCTCTGAAAAGATAATTTTTATGGCCAAAAGTGCCACCCACTGAGCAGGATAATGAAGGAAACCATGTCCCACTTGCAATCTGGGGGAAGGGACTATAAAAAAGCAATTATTAATCTAAACTAGAGAGAACAGATATGATGACTGTTACCAGGAAGGTAAATGTGCAAAAAGACACACAGTTCTGTATAAGGTCTTAGAAAACTTCACTCTGAATATGTAAGGAGGACCTAAATCACAAGTAACCTTTATCTTCCTTAGCAAATAAAGATTCTGAGGTGAGTTGGAAACTATGATCCCTGTTTCATCATGCACTAAGCTGTGCATGCTACTTTAGCAGCTGATAGCTGTCTGCATGATTTGCTAACGCACATACACTGTGCTGAAGCAGAGGTAAACCTGACTGAAATTGGAGGCTTGAGACAAAACTGAAGAACAAGTAGAACTAATGGCAGAAATACTGCTATTTAATTTCTCTGCCACACTCAGCACTAACTCTTATTTTTTGTTTCAGTTTAATCCCAGTAAAAGCTTTTACTATTTCCTTGCTTTATTTCCCCATCCTTGGAATGCTTTGAAAGAAACCTAGTTCAGCAAGTAGGAATTTCCAATCTCTTTTGTTTCCTTAATCTACTCTAAGCGGACTAACCTTCCTTTTTGTTAGCATATTCTGCTTCCCCTTTTATGAATATGGTCCTCTCCCAATGTCACTGATTTAGCTGCCTGTGCAGTTACACTATGCACTGGTGATTCTGACACTGTGTATTTTTAAATCAAACCATCAGTCACATTCCGCTCTCATTTCCAGCTGTTTAACAGCTTTTAGACTCTGAATATGTGAATATATATCACATAATATAAAATCAGATAGTTATTAACTGGCCCATTAGAACTGGCTTCTTACTGATTTTTGCAACTAAAGAGGACAGTGGCATTATCTCTGACAAAAAGAAGACTGTCTTAAATGAAGCAAGAAAAATGACTGCATCTTAACCAATAGTTAAAACTGAGATAGGTTTTGATAAGGCTTGAAGTAATATAAATGTATATATCTGAGCAATGACTCGTCAGCAGCCAGGCTCTGTGAGCACTGTTCTGCACTGAGCTGCACAGTTGGCTGTTCTGATACTGGATGGAGTGCATGGGGGAGGTGCTTTACAGAAAGATGATTATATACAGTGATTTATGTACAGTGAAAGCTCTGTGAACTAACAACCATACCCAAAGGGCAATTCCTTGTCTTAAATGAATGCTTTTAAAGCATTGCTTGGGTTGCAAATACAATTTACTTTGACCTTTAGCTAAAGGCCCACCTCTACAAGACAACTGATTTTTAGAGCTTGTGTGGTTTCTTAAGAAGGATATGGCTGCATGGCAATTTTAAAATCTAATTTTCTAACCTTAATGTATTTTTCCACAGGTGTCACAGGTCGAACCTGTAGATGTTCTGGAAGCTCTATCTTGGGGCTTGTATTTTCTTCCTTTTTATCGTGAATCAACTAAAACCAAAACATCAGTGTTAAAAATTGGACTCTGTCTTTTGAAATATGCTGTAGTGTCTGATATCAACACCATTCTCACTGAGAGGAATTTCCTGTTCTTTCCATGTAAAACAGGGCTACCTCTTGTAGTGCTTTGGAAACCATTGTAATGGGGTTTTTTTTGTTTCAGAAAGTAATACAATTCTGTATTTCAGATGAAAGGCTAAATATTGCTGAGTGATTCCAACTCTCGTAACTACATCACTGCCCCAAAAAGGGCTAGAAATGTATCTTGTCATGTATCTTATATGACCACAAAACAAAGACTGACAAATGCTAAATACACATTTACCAATAGTAACAACGTGTAGTTTGTCAGCTTTTCAGCTGTAGCCTGTGCAAAGGAGGTATGCATGACAGATGGATGTTGAAGCCTAGAGGACCAAAGTTTTCCAAGGTGCTAACTTGGATGCCTGTAGGAATTTTCAAAAACTCCTAAAAGAGATTAAGTACTTTTAGCCTCCTGGAATGTACATATGTAATTACTCAGGGGCTGCATCAACCCTGTTCTTTAGCAACGAAATACTGTGATTCCAAATGTACATTATGTGCTACTATATTCTAATACCTAAACAGCACTGAGAATAGACATCTCTCCAAATATTTTCATTTGTTGATAATTCCCCCACTGAAAATTTAATTAGATAGAACCCTCTCCCCTAGATTTTTAAACTACCATATGGATAGACAAAGGGGAAATATTTTCCTGTCAGTGTGCATCTAGTACTTGTTAACACTATTGGAAGTCATGCTTCTCAAGAGAAATATACCAGAATATGCACAGCATATAAATTACCACTTGCCATATTTTATTCAGAGGAAAAGTGAAGATTTGAACCCATCTTAAAAGTAGTGCACTTCTTACCTCAGAACTTAGCTTAGTAAAGTATACTCAGTACTCTTCTAGCTTTTTGTGCTCTCATAATTTGTGTCCACATAAATTTGTGTACGATTTCATGTGTTTATATATATGCCATTCATTTTTACCTCATCAAGAGGCGTTTTCAAGAATCCCCATTTGTGAGACCATTTTTTTGCAGCCTCTAATTCAGTTTCAATGTATTTTTTCCTGAAACAGAGAAGTACTTAAATTACTTTGAAAGCTTCCATTAAAATAAAAGGAAAAATGCAAACCCAACTGCCACTGCCAAGAAGCACAGCACTTTAACATGAAGCTTGAGACATTTACCTCAAAATCAAGCTTATGCATGAGTTAACAACTGCCCGACTTGGAGGTAAAGCGGAAATACTTTCCGTAAGTTGGAAATGAAACAGTAGGTGTGAAAACACTTGCAAATTACATTCCTACTGGGAAGTGGAGGAGGTCACATTTGCTATGGCCCACATGGAAAATGAGTCCCGGTGCCCGTTCATGCGTCCTCTCGGTTTTACTGGCCGAGGAGGGGCCCTCTGCCCGGCCCCGCTGCCCCTCCTCGCCC